TCATGGTGTCACTGTTGTAGAAAGTGACTGACGTCAGGGTTGGGGTAAGACTGAGAAAAACTGGATAGATTATGTATACTGAATTGAAACAGATGAGGGAGAGAACAGTTTAAAAGTGTGTTATATTATGTTAAGCGTATTGTGATTATCACAGGAATCCAGAATTGCATAGCGGAGTGCGTTGGCGGTGGGAGGGGGCGGTCGTTGGGGCCAGCATCGGGGGGGTATTGCATACCAACGAAAAAGTTTATCTTTTGCTTTTCAAAGAGAGGAGTGAACTGGGGGGAGCGGGGTAAAGAAAAAAGTGCAACAATGAGTGAATGAAAATCCAAGATCTCTGTAAATGTTAATTAAAATTAATAAAATTTTTAAAAAATTTTTAAAAATTATGTTAGTACTTCATCTAGCCTTTATAAGTTCATCATACTCCTCGTCAAATTCAAACAGCCTCTTTGCAAGAACAAAAACAAAAAATCTTTAATTTATAGCCAAAGCAGTGCTGAAAAGAACAGGAAGATCCAGTCTGTTATTGGCATTATGGTAACTATTTAGATGGATGGGATGGACTACTGGAATTGAATCGCAGTTGATTTGTGACAAAGATACTAAGTCTATCCAGTTGAGAAGGAATAGTCTCTTTTAAATCATCTTGGGCACCTAGATTTCCACAAATGAAAGAATGAACGTGAAAAAGTAGAGAATTCAAAGTGCCTTGCTAGTCTGATAGAGACTCATGGCATCCTTGAGACTTGGCCTTTTGTCACCTTTTCACCTAATTCTTCTAAATACACTCCTATAGCTCAAATTATAAGCATACCAGGGAGGTATTCACATCTTAGAACAATGCTCATAGAAGATCAAAAGAGCAGTATTTACCCAGAAATAAAGTTCCAAGTCAATAAGGATAAGGATAGAAGGCAGAGTGGAAATAAGAGTTAAAAAGAGAACGTGAGAAGAATGTTGTTGCATACAGTAACAACAGTAATGTACAGTAATGTTGTAATACAGTATAAGAGCTGTAATTAATTAATTGTGTGTGTATAAAACAATATAATGCATTTGGACGATTTAAGGACGGACAGATTTGCTCTGTAAGCATTTACTCAAAGCATTGTAAAAAGTTGTATTGTTGGGGTTACTTATTGCATATGAATCAGAATTGAAACATGCTACCCCTCCCTCCAGTGGATTTTCAGAAGATGTAAATCGAAAGTGGGGAGAGTGCCTATCTTTATCCCTCAGCACTTTGGTGGATTCAGATTGCCAGAGACACCTTTCCCACTGGATACAATCCATAACAATCGCTATGATTTTTAAAACTGAAAACAGATTGACAAAGATATGTAGAAAAACTGAAATCCACATCCATTGCTTGTGGGATTATGAAATACTCCAGCTTCTATGGAAAAGAGTTTTGTGGCTCCTCAAAAAGTTAAGCAGAGGATTACCATCAGATCCAGCAGTTGAACTCTAGATGTTTGTATACCTAACTAAAGAATTGAAAGCAGGAATGCAGATTGTTGTTGTGATGTTGGTAGTTATGTGCCGTTGTGTTGTCTGCGACTCCGAGACCCTGTGTGCAACAGCCCTAAACCTTGTGCTGACCTTATTGTCTCTGACACACCTACCCCCACCACCTCAGTGACTGAATCAATCCATCTCATCAACAGTCTTCCTCTCTTGCACCCTCCCTCCACTCTCCCAAACATGACATCCTTCTCCAAGGACTGGTTCCACCTTGTGTTATGTCCCAGTATGTCAGATGAAGCTTCAGAATCCTTGCCTCCAAGGAGCAGCCTGGTCTGACCCTCTCTAGGACAAACCTGTTTATTCTTCTGGTATATTCAATACTCTTCTCCGGCATCAAAGGCATCAATTCTCCTTCTGTCATCCCTAGTCAGATACTTATATACTAATCTTCATTGCAACACTATTAACAATAGCCAAAATATGGAAACAAATATCCATCAAAAATGAATGGAAAAATTAAATGTGGTAATAACGGATACTTAATTGTACTCATTCAAAACCTATACATAGACCAAGAATCTGTTGTACAAACAGAACTGAGTGATTTCAAATGAAGATATACGTGTACAACAAGGCTATCTCCTTTCTTCGTACCTGTTCGATATGTATGCTGAGCAAATCATTCAAGAAGCTACACTTTCTTTTTTTTTTAAATTTAATTTTATTATTTTGTGTGCGTGTACCGTCAAATTGGATCTGACTGTTAACAGGAGGAAATTGTCCCTCCTTTTCTAGCAGAGCATCTGGTGTATTTGAACTGTGTACCTCTGGGGTTTCAGTGCAGCTTCTTGCCACTAGGCCACCAGAGCTCCCTAAGAAGCTACACTTTATGAAGAGGAATGTGTCATCAGGATTGGAGAAAGACTCATTAACAACCTGGATTATGTAAAAGACACTGAAAATGGCAGAAATTTGAAACACTTGATGCAGAAGATAAAGGATTTCAGTCTTCAATATGGATTATATCACAACATTAAAAAAAAAAGAAAAATCCTCAACTTTGGGCCAGTAGGCAACATCTTCAAAGGTAGAAAAAAGATTAAAGTTGTCAATGATTTTATCTTGTTTGGATCCACAATTAATACTCCTGGTACCAGCAGTCAAGAGATCGGAAAGATTTGTTTTATAAGGAAAGTCTGTTTTCAGGAACCTCTTGAGATTTCTAAGGAGCGGTGATGCTAAAGACTAAGGTGCACCTGAGTCAATCAATTGTTGTGTATCACTGAGTTGGAACCAACTCATAGCTGACCCTCTAGCGTGCTTTCAGAAGCTGTAAATCTCCCTGGAGAAGAATGCCAATCTATCTCCCACACTGCAACTGGTAGATTTCAACCTTGGACCTTTGTGTTGTAATACAGTTCCTTACCAATAAGCCACCTGAGCTCCCTGGTTCAAGCCATGGTTTGCTGGGGTTTTGTTTGGTTGATTAGTTTTCAATTACTTGCTATGCATCTGAAAGCTAGGCAAATGAATCCATGCCTTTGAGTAGTGGTGTTGGAGAAGAGCTCTGAATATCTCATGGATTGCCAAGAGAACAAACAAGTGTGCCTTGTAGAAAGTGCAGCCAGGGTGCTTTAGAGGTGAGCATGGTGAAACTTCTCACACATCTTTTGGTCATGTTGTTAGGAGAGACCAATCCTTGGAAAAAGACCAAATGCTTAGAAGGGTGGGGTGTCAGCAAAAGAGAGGAGGACCCTCAGGGCGGTAGATTGACTGTAACAATAGTCTCAAATATATCAAGAGTTTATGAAGATGGCACAGGGATAAGGCAAGGTTCAGATCTGTTGTTTTAGGGTGCTGTTAATTGTACCTGCTTTGATGGCACCTAAGAACAACAAAAATATACAATTGTTGAGATACACAGGAACCCTCATAGTATACTAGATTACATATTAAGCTCCTAGAAAAAGATCATCAGTTAGAACTGCCTCGGAAAAAGGTGAGACATTCTGTTCCTGTTATTTTAAAAATTTGGAAACCCATGAGGAAGTTCCATTCTCTTGTACAGGGTCGCTGTAGGAATCATTGGATAACAGTGAGTGATACACATACTCTGAAACATTACTCAGCCATAAAGAGAATGGAAACTCGACCTACTTTATAGAATAAATCTGAAAAATAACACTCCTAAGAAATACATCAGAACCAAAAGAAAAAATATACGATCTCACTTAAGTATCCCACTAGGCCAGTGTTTATTAGTGTTTATGAGGATAAATGAAAGGGGAAAAAGACTCATACTTAGGAGCTGTTTCTGTTAAAAGCAATAGATTTGAAAATGTTCCACAGTATGATAAACATGATTATTATCACTGAATTGTGAAAACTGTCATAATGTTTTGCTACAAATATGTTTACCATCTTTTAAAAAAAAAAGTACTGTAAAAATAGCTCTGCTATTTAAAAGACTAAAAAAATCAAAACTCAAACTCACTGCTGTTGATTCAGTTCTGACTCACAGTGGCCCTCCACTCGATTTCTAAGGCTATATGTCACACCGAGAGGAAACTGCCACACTTTCTTTTGCTTTAGGGTTGGAAGTGTGGCTCCCTAACGGGATAAAACAACCTCTTTTAATAAGACAAAGTATTTGATAATTTGAGACAGAAAAAAAAAAGTGTAACTTTCATTTACTAACTGAAACGTTAAAAATAACTCAGTTGTCTAAATGAGACTTTACTGAAATCTCTAGAGACTGATTTCTAAACAAAGCACGTTAGTGAGATATAAAGTAGTGGTAAACTTGATCTTAGAGACAGTGAAAAATAATATTTAATTATTTTAAGTGCAATATTTTAAATCCTATTACTTACAATATTACCAAAACCACAATAAAACGACAGAATAATGTAGCTGATAGTTCAACAAGAAACTGGAGTTTAAATTTTAAATCTTCTTCTGACAAGTTGTTAAAATTTACACAAGTCACTTAGAACATCTATTTGCAAATCTGTAAATAAGAGTTAACCATTTTCTCTTACCTGCTTCACATGATAATATATGGTGATAATATGTGGGAATACTTTATATATATATTTTTTTTTTCTTTTCTAAATCATTAGCCAAATATAAGATAATCCTTATGTGATCATAGCTGGGTTTATTTTGCAAAATGACAGGAGCTAAAGAACCTATTTCTCACATACAGTTCCTCAAAGACAATTTCAGAAATTTGTATTTTCTAAATGGATGTAGCTCTGTTAGTGCACTCACAGGAAGTTGTGCTGCCAACTCATAGATCATGTCTCTCTGTCTCTTAGAATCTACCAACCAGTCCAAAAGAGAATGGGCCGTCCCCTCCTTGGACTCAAAGATAATGAGTAGTAATGTCTGCAAGTATTTGATACTCCTTCGCTATAAAGAATTTTAAACTCCTTCCAACAATATGCATTTAAGATGTAAGCCATTGTTAAATACTGTTGGTGAGGTGGCCTACTTCTCATGGTTTCCCTATATTTTTATGATTCCAGCCCAAAGAGCCGATTGATCCAGTTAAAGAAGGAGAAGTTGGAATACACTCCAGGAGAACATGAATATGGATTATTCCCCGCCCCCATTCATGTTGGTGAGTATATACTGGGGCATATTGCTGCTCTTCTTCAAACTGTTTTTCCAAAGAATGAAGGCTAAAGTTCCATAAAGGGGCCTCCTCTGTATTTGCTTTCAAGGAGGGAGGTCCAGCCTTTTGGAATGTAACTTTCTAATAAATCTGTCTTTACTTTTTACCTTAAAGGAACTCAAATGGCATACCATCAGAGTAAAATCCAAAAGTCTTATGTGGGCCTTTTAAGAGTAATAAGATGATTTGAGACCCATTTCATCCAGATGCTAAATAAATTTGTGTTCTGACAAAAAAATAGAGAAATGTAGTCCCCTTCCTTCCGTACTTTTCACCATCTATTTCCAGCTTTCTCTGCTCACCCTGTTGTGTCATATTGGTCTTACTTCAGTTCCTAGAACTTTCCCATTAGATGGCCATTGTGTTTCATATGCCCTACAGAGCTCTTCTTCAAACTATTCACATGATCAAGTTGGTTTCTTATCCTTTTTTTTTTAAATTTTTGTGAGTATACCATCAAATAATCATCCGACTCAAAATTAGGATGACCATATGATATATTACTCTGGAGATGGAAAAGTGAGGAAAAATGGAGTTGCTTTCATAGTTAAAAAAGTCATTGCTAGATCTGTCTTGAAATACAGTATTGTCAGTGACAGGATAATATCTATATGCATACAAGGAAGTCCACTGAATACCACTATCATTCAAATATATGCATCAACAACCA